TGTAAGCCGTATTAACCTGAATTCGGCTATTGGTTTGTTTCTGTGAATGAAGGGAATTACTCCGAGTTGTGGCGCGGGAGTCGGACTGTGATCCGGCCTCTTCAGGCACGCATTTCTCTTTTATTCTCTTTTATTTCCCCTTCTACGCACACACATACACACATATTCCTGTGTAAACGTACATCTGGAGACCAACTCCACCACCGCGCCATTACGCACAGAGATCTATACACTCGCGGCTATCCAGACGCCTCAGAGACACAGATTGTGTAGGGCCGAACTCAGTCTCTTTTAGACCTTAAGGCCACATTTAGGCCTTTGTTAGGTGTGTGCCATCGGAAGGGCGACCACGTGGGACGAAGTAATCTTCCCCCCCTTCTCTCTCCCTTTCATCCACACGTGCACACACCCAGGTCTTTGTTAGGTTTGCGCCATCGTGAACGACCACGAGGGTACGAAGCCATCTCCCCCCTTTCTTCTCTCTCTCTCTCTCTCTCTCTCACACACACACACACACACCTACATTCACACCTCATCCACAAGCCTTTGCTTGATAATGTTTGTTGCTTAGATTAGTTTATAATAGTTATTTGTTTAATTAAGTTCATTGATTTTGGATTGATGTTGCTTTGTTTAAATAAATTCTGTTATAATTTAAGAGAGCAGTTGTTTGTGATTACTGGTGTATTTGCATTGTGATATAAGCTGGGTGCGAAGGCTTTGTGTACGGATTTCACGCCTTCAATTTATTAAATATAGTTATTCATTATTAATAATATTAGTAATTAAATAACTAATTTGAGACTGATTTGAGTGATATTTTGGTTATATTTACCTGATTACAGGTTGGTGCCCCAAAACGAGATTAAACATAGTTTAATGATATTTTATTTATATTATTAATAATTAAGTATAATTATTAAAGAATATAACAAAAGTTGACTTGATACAACCCCAACAAATCCATTCAAATCAAAACTCAAAACTCACCTCTTTTCCCTGGCATTTAAAACAAGTTGAAACAGACCCCATATATTGAGCTTAGGTATGTATCTGTATGTATGCATGTGCATGTAGGTATGAGTGTATGTGTTTGTGACATGTATGTATACTACATGTATATATGTATGTGCATATATATATTTGTGTGTGTGTATTATGTATATGTATATGTGTTTATATATGTATGTATGTGCACATGTATAGATTAATGTTTTTATTTTTATTTCTTGCTTTTACACTTTGCCTGTAAAGCACTTTGGTCAGGTGAAGCTGTTTTTAAATGTGCAATACAAATAAACTTGATTTGATTTGATTCTCACTGCTGATCAACACCTGAGTTTATTGCAGACTGTATATAAGAAGTGAACGTAACCTCTGCATTTCAAAAGTGAAGCCAATCACGGGAGTAACTTGAACCTGCATTCTTTCTAATGACCAGCAGGGGGCAACTCCACTGGTGGCAAACAGAGAACTGGACTGTATGGAAGCAGTTAATAATGAACGAGCTCTGAGACAGAGAAAAGTTAAGATGACTAAGGACCCATGACTGACTGATTGTCTTTTCTTCATTTCATCTGAGGTGAGGTAGTTTGGGTTTTTCATTCAGATGATTTGTGTTTTATTGTTACATTCAACGGGATGAGGGGAGAAACAATAAAATAAAACCAAGGAGGAATTAAGTGTAAGAATAAGATATGACTCCGTACAGACTCGACCATCTTCTCAGATTCCACCATCAGATGATTTGGGAGCTGACTGTGCCCTGGGAAGATCACATGGAGGAGGCTTACGAGAGGAAGCTGGCCAAATACCGGGAGCTGGTGGAGCAGTGTAGAGAGGGCGAGGCTGGCGGGCTCTTTGTGAGCCGATTGAAGTGGGCTGTCGGGGGTTTGCTGGGCGCTCTATCTGCAAAGCTCTGGCAGGTCTTGGTGTAACAGGAACTGTGAAGAGTAGGGCCACTCGGTGGCTTTGGATAAAGAGGGCGAGCCCGTCGATTGCTGCTGCTGGGATGCAATGCTGGACTTGATCAACCCTGGATGGGTCACCTGGGGGGGAGGGGGTCTGATGTTGAAAGACCTGAAACCCCAAATGACCTCAGGAACGTCACTAATGATGCATCCCAGCTCATCCTAGAGATGTATCTTACAAACTAATGTGAGGAAAAATAAGTAAGCAATAGATGATATGTGAGGCCTTGAAACTTAACATATCTCTAGATTTCAATACTGCTCAGTAAAACAGGAAATAAATCAGATCTTTAAATGTAATCTTTCCTTTAGTCCACAACACCTACTTATGGGAAGTCCCCCCCCCTATTCACTGTCCCTCACTTCAGATAAATACCTCTATAGGACTGTAAGAATAACAGAAATTAAACAGAACACTAAAAACTGTCTGAAAAGTCCACCACAAATAATGAAATGGAAAGAAACAATTAATGACGATTATAATATGGAGAGAATAACTCTTAGGAGAAGGAATTTAGGAAAAGTCTTTGAGTCACGATGGAAGAAGTTAACAAACACAGATTTAATATCGGGGGGGGGGGGGTATTTAATTGTGTTGTTTGGTCGATTAATTAAATAAACGTATAAACACAAAATAAAAACGTAGTATATCTCTAGATTTATACAGACTTGTTTCTGACTCTGACGTTGATCCTTTGATGACGTCAGTAATGTAAGTTAGTTTCTGCACTTTGTTTTATTTGGGCGGCTGTGGCTCAGTGGTAGAGTCGGTGTGTCTCCCAACAGGAAGGTCAGCGGTTCAATCCCCAGCTCCTGCAGCCACATGTGCAATGTGTCCTTGGGTAAGACACTTAACCCCAAGTTACTCCTGCTGATGTATTGGACTAAGCTTCTATAATTTATATCCATCATTGTTTGTAAACCACAGATATCCTTTGAATTTTAAACTACTAAAGATATCAAATATTAATGTAGCAATGCCACAGGTTTGTTACTTCAATCCACCTTATTCATCTTTGTTGTACAGTATTTCTATTAGAATCATGTTGTTTATGCCCTCTAGTGGTCACAGTCAGTAACTACAACATTACTACTATCAAGTCAGATGAAATCACAGTGTGTTACTTCCGGTCCCTGTCGTCAAAATAAAACATTTTTAAGATGCGCTTATGATCGTTATGTTAACAAAAAAACAATCCGAGTTATTTAAGTTCACATTCGTTGGAACATAACCAGTCAATCTTCACTTTTCTGCTCGTACTAAAAACATTGATTGTATTTTTTTATCCAAACAAATCAAATCTGTGTCGGACAAGATGTCATCAACAATTAGCTCTCTAGCTAGCAAAACTACAAGTAGGCCTACTGGAACTTTGTAGATAAATTGTGATTCGATGTAAACACAAGGATGTCGTAGGACTTTAGAAACAACTGAAGGTATCCCATAATTAATGTGAAATCATCAAAGCTTCCTTAGTTAACTTGAGAAGTCACTAACATGGGTAGCCGACGATTGAACGGTAAATAAATGAGAAGCACATTATTTATGACCTCTAGTGGTCACAGTGAGTAACTACAGCATCAATACTGTCAAGTCAAAATAAATTACATTGTACTACTTCCGGTCATCGCTGTTAAAATAAAATCATAGGGAAAGTAGAGAGAAGGAGATCATGTGAGATAATCAGTCAGTTAATCTCTTTTTCATTATAACCCCCTCCTAAGACATATTTTAAACAGCGAGCCCTTCCTCACGTCATTTTATTTACATTAAAAATTCCTTCAAAATGTATATTTTTTTGCTTCTTTTAAAGATCTTTTAAATGAATGTTATGTAAAATGTTTGTTATTTATAATTGTTTGCCTTTACTTATGATTTTATGTCTAGACTGTTTTCCGTTTGTTTTATTATTGCTGTCCTTGTAAAACACTTTGTAGCTTGATTTTAAATTGTCCTATATATAGATGTTATTATTATTATTATAACATATTATTATATTTTTGAATCTTGTGTGATCACATGTAAAATAAATACATATATTTTTAGTGTGTGATCGTATGTTCACAGAGGCCTGATTATCTGATACATTTTTTATTGTAATAAATAAATGAGCTTATACTATCCCTGATCCAGAAATACAATGTATACTTTCCCCAAATTATTATTATTAAATATTTGACCCTCTCTCAGTCAACTCAATTCTTTCATACATGACGTGTTGATGATCACAGACAGTAAAAACAGAGAACTTTTACAGTTAATTCAAAGCTCTTGTTAAAGATTGTTTAAGGATAATTGTCCTCAATAGTTAAATAAATCCAAATACTCACAGCTTAAGTACAAACACTGTTTGCTTTGTTAATGATAATGCCATATGTGCTTTATTTATATTATAATTACGCTATGTATGACACAATGATTTACTGCGTCATCAATCTGTCAAGGTAGATGTTTATACAAAGAACAACTTCCGACTATCACTATCAAAATAAAAGTTTTGCACTTTGACCACAGGGGGGCAGTGTGTACTCACGGTTATACTTTTATCAACTCTGTTAAGAATAACCTCCTCAAGCTAGAAACAAGAACAAGACTATCGAGGAAGAGGAATACATCATTTCATACTTTTACCTCAAATTAATGGAGGTTGAGGCATTTTATCTCCCTCTTGATCAACAAAGTTTCTGCCGCTAATTCTAAACATCTATGCAAAGCTCACAGGAAAGTTTGTGTCCTCCTGAACAATTCACCAAAACTAGGAAGCCGTTGTTCATGCTGATTAATTAACTTTACCGAATTATAACAAAAGACTTTAATCTTTTTCTTCTATCAAACAGTGAAAGTTTGTAAAGGAACATTATCACATCGCCTTACAGCTCCCTCTTGTTAACGCTAGCTGCACTTTATGAAGGTAATGTTTGACGGAGTGAACAACACAACGCTTTAATCTATGGCCAATTAAGTTATAAAATATCTGTTGTCCAAGATAAAAATGTATTTAATGTTCATTTGAATCAACATCATGTATTCTGTCCGTGTAGCTGTTTTTAAATGTGTTTCTTGTTCTACATTGGCGTATTCAGTATCGTGCGCCATCTAGTGGCCTCAATGAAGAACTACACCCGCAGAGTCAAGTTAGATACACGTAGCGAAGAGATACTTCCGTTAAACCCTTTCAAAATAAACCTTGTATTAAAACGGAGGGATATTCCATCCTGTTCATACTGTGACTGTAATCTATGGTCAGTTTGATGAATAAAATGACAAAGCATTGTAATAGATGATTCCCTCCTCGCCTCCTTAGCTTTTAGTTAAACTCTGCTGGGCTCGTCATCAACCGGAACCGGAACACGTAACATTTTTCATCACTGGGCGCCATCTAGTGGACAACCCGAAAGCTACAACAACATAAGGGGGGGAAACATGATGGGAGTATGACGGCTGCCACACGGCTGATATCAAGGTTGACGCTGGTCACTGGTAAATATATGTTGTAAGATACATGGTGTTGTGTGAAGTGAGACGTTTAAGGACATGCCCTTTTCCCTTTTCAAGATGTTGCGTTCAAAGCCGTGTGTTTTTCTGCAATCTTCTTCAATTCACCAAATCAAAGCAGCTACCTACTGCAAGTAGCTTCTGATATCAAAAAGTTTGATCTCCAAAGTAAGCTGACAATGAATTCATTATTTTAGTGTAACCGTGATTCTATCAGTGATTTCTAAATCAGTACCTCGAGCAGATCGGACTGAATTAAGTTTGATGACTTGAAATGAGAGTGAAGGTGAAAGTGTAGCTGTCATTCTGGCTGTGTGTATGCTATCAATAAGACCTGCAACCATTTCAGAATGAAATGATCTGCCGTTGAATTGTGAAAATACTGAAAAAGGAAACATGTTTAAATGCCTCAGAGTTTAAATCTTTAAATGTCTGGTTTTGTCCGACTTAAGGTTCAAAACTGTAAAAAATGCAATACAGTGTGGATACAGTGAGTGACTGAAAGGATACATGTATTATGAGAATTGTGGCTTATTAATTGTCTTCTTTGACTGATGGAATAAACATTAAAGCTGTATTATGAATGATGAAGCATCACTTGTCCTCTTACATTTTCACATAGAAAAGTGGACTCAAGGTTTTTGAAGACAGAAGAAAGAAAGAAATGTGATTGGGCGCAGATGATTTGTGAATAACAATTGGTCATGTAGCCCTGAACTGTTGGGCTAATCAAACTGAAAATCAATCACATCAAGTCAGCTTCCTGTCCTGTGTGTTTTCTTGTCGTCCTTGATTGATATTTGTTTTTTCAGATACTTCCAGAGTGGATCTTCTGTCACACTCAGTCTTTCCTCTGCAGCGTTGTGTTTAAAACATTCTGTCACTCTGGTAACTTCATGCTACTCTTTTCCCTCCCAGGAGGAGGCAGTGGGATCGGACGGGCGGTATGTCAGCGTTTGGCCTCTGAGGGCGCCTCCGTGGTGGTGGCAGACATCAGCGAGGAGTCTGCCAACGAGACCATGGTGGGTCTGCAGAATGACCTCAGAGGACAGGGTCACATGGCGGCTGTGGTGGATGTGTCATCAAAAGAGAGCGTGAAGAAGCTGGTCACCAGAATACAGGTGTGATACAGACAGGAAGACAAGCCAACACAACATGTGTTTACATTTCCATCATAATCAGCAACCTTTCTGTAGAAAAAGGTACTTTTCTCTCTGTGTGTTTTCATGCTGGAGGGGCTATTCCACGTGTTGTTTTTCTCTCCTTGTAAGTTATTGTTCTGTTCCTCTACACACTCATTACTTCCAGCCTCCCTCAGTGTGTGTGAACGCAGCAGGCATCACGCAGGACCACTTCCTGCTCAACATGGAGGAGGATCACTTTGACAGAGTCATCCAGGTCAACCTGAAGGTATGAAGCAAGTTCAGCGTGTAATCGAGTCTATCAGGTTAACGTCAGAGGATGACATCACAATCTAATAACTAGGGATGTGCCCGTTAGTCCACTTAAAGGTTGGAAGTCATCACCCTCACTAGTCGGCACCAGAATTACAAGTTACAAATGATTCATATTTTTAGATGTTGGCCCTCGATGCCGGTTCATTTGTGCTCAAATTGCAGCACTTCTTAAAGCACTCTTCTTCCATCACTGCTGTTGAGACATAACGTGGGTCGACTTTGTGAGAAGAATCAGAAAGAAAGAAATCAGTCTCTGTTGTCTTCAACAGGAAACAACCGAAGATTCAAGTTTCTCGTTGTTGCACTTGAAGAAAAGAATTCATAAAATGATTCTCTCACAAAACTTCTAAAAAACTGCACGAGTGAACGCAAACAGACACATTTCTACTCCGACTTTATCTGGAATTCTTTAGCCGGCAGCCCCCTGATCATTTTTCTGCATGAAGTCGGGTTAGCTGATGTGAGAACGCAGCAGGAAGTATTCAGGTAAATTCACTGTGAGGGAGCAAGAGGGGGTGGTAACGTTTCTACCTCAGGACCCGTGCACAACCAGAGACTGTATGACCGCGATATGTGTGATCTCTGTGCACGTTATTAAACCGCTGCCTTAAGTTTTCTGTCCTCCAGTATGTACAAAAAAACTGTCATCATAGAGTTGGACTCTGTTGCTCTGTCCACCACCTCTGACTGCCTGAAAATAATGAAGACTTTCAGTAGTGCATGAGTGAAAATGTCTTTATTGAGGCTGAAGAACGTTTAGGATTGTTGTGTTTTGTCCACAGAGCTGAATGATTTTTGTTATTATTTCAAACACTCTTTTCTCTGGTGCTGATTTACTGTGAAGAGATGAACTCACTCCTGCTCCTGCGTCTCTTCCAGGGCTCCTTCTTGATCACTCAGGCTGTGGCTCAGGCTCTGGTGGCCTGTGGAGCACCCAAAGGATCCATCATCACCGTGGGCAGCATCGTAGGAAAGGTGAGAGAGCTGCAGAGAGACGCTTTCTAGACGACAGTTTCACTTCTCTGTTGAATCTTTTAAGGTTTCTTTTCAAATGTATGAACATAAGTGTGTAAGGACCTGGTGTGTGAATGTGATCACTTACTTGTGATGGACTCTTTACTCAGCAGCCTCTACCATCAGTGTGTGAATGTGTAGGTGTGACACGTGTTGTAAAAGCCCTTTGAGTCGTCAGAAGACTAGAAAAGAAATATACAAGCTCAAGTCCATTTACCATTTATCCTGAAGTTCATGTGGCAGCGTAATGATTTCTCTTTATTTATTGAACAGTGATCATCCGTCCATCCATCCACCTTGTGCTCGTAGCCAATAAAGGGTTAAATGGTTCTTGGATCCATGTGTTTGAATGTTCACACCAGCTGGAGGTTCACTGGTTCAGCATTTTAAAGACATTCACTCACACTCATTACTTTTAGTGATCCTTTTTTACGACTTCTTTGATCGAATGTCGCCTCCACAAACTCTGAATTATTAATCAGTCGTCTTTAAATCGTCTACAAAAGGTCGGAGAAATGCACGGATTGAAAACAAGCTGGTGAGGATGGAAACAATCAAAACACCAAACATGACAGGAACCTCAAACATGTTCACACAACCACACAGGGTTAGAAACAAACACACACCTGAATCCTGATTCTCTGCACCTGTTCACCTGTCACTCCCCTTTCTAGCTGCGTGTGGCTGATTACCCATGATGCCCAGGTGCAAAGGTGACGTAGCAGCAGCAGCAATAATAACCAAACTCAGCACACACACTATAGCACACATCAAACTGGCTCCAACAAATGTTTTTATATCATCACAATGTAGATGTTACTGAACTGAGCGGCTAATTTAAATATCTTTGTTCAGACGTTTCAGAACATGTGAATAATCCGTCTATAAGATCAACAAAGTAAAGATCATAAAGTTTATTGGAATCAAACTAAATGTTCCCACAATGGTAGCTACAGCTGTGTAAGTGTTTCCATGAATGTTGAAGTGAAGAAACACACAGACATTTGGAGTGTGAGGGACTTTATTGAACAGATCATTTACAGTACAAAGGTATGAAACAGCAGCTCAACACCACTAGTTAACTTAACCCAACACAGGAAGTGATTCTGAGAATTCATCTTCCACTTCCATTCACAAAACTCAGAGAGAAAACATCCCTCGTTCCTGAACACGAGCAGGAATTATATACAAGATTTCAACTGGATAGCTGAGACGCCTCCCACAAACAGTTTAGGATCTCTGATCAAAATAAAACAATAATTAGAGCTGTCAGCATTAACGAGTTCATCACGATTAATCTCATCTTATTTTGTCCCTTCAGGCTCTCCGTAGATAGTGGTCCTCAGTGTCTCCCTGTAGTCTCACTGATGTAAAAGAAGAACACTGCTGCATCTTTGAATGTCTCATTTCACTTTAACAAACTCTCAGACAGTAATATCCACCTGATGACATCACACATTGACCTGATGACATCACACACTGACCTGATGACATCACACATTGACCTGATGACATCACGCATTGACCTTATGACATCACATTGACCTGATGACATCACCATTGACCTATGACATCACACATTGACCTTTGTCACCGTTCCTTTGAGCTGTTGACCTCACTTTGGATCCATAACCACTTCCTGTTTCTGTGTTTTAGTTCTTGTCCTAACATAGACTGTAAATATTACTGGACGAACCCTGACCCGTCTGTGACATAGGCAGAAAATGAGTCCAATCGACGGCCGCATCCATATTGGATTTGCAGTCTCAACCTAACTTCGGATCAACCTAGCGACAGCAGTAAGGCGGGACCGGCGGGACTTAGCTCCGCCCATTCAGCTCGACGTTAGCAGTCCACTTGACAGCATAGCTAACAGCTAGGCTGCTATCATCCCCTATTCCTGCTTGTCCTGAGAAAACTCTACAAACAGTAAGTTAACATTTAACTTTTCTACAACACAGTTAAAACGAATTATATTCAACACAAATATTTAATTAAAGTCTTAAAACTACACTTTTTTAAATATACAATTATGTTTATGAGTTATTTGTTAGAGAAGTTAGACTTTGTCAGTGTTAACAGAGAAATACATTAACAAAGTTTTATCCATAAACTGTAAATAAATATGAGACATCCAGAAGAAATCAATATTACAAAGCATACAGTTCATGTTACTGTTCTGACAAAAAGAGGAATGTCTGTATTTACTGATGTCAACAGCGATGAGGTGAACATGACAATTGAAAAATAATTATTTAGTATTTATTATAAGACATTTGTTTTCTATTGAACCTGAAGTCATGGAGTCTGTGGACAGTGTCAGCTTCACACCAAAAACTTTAAGTATTAGAAAAAATAGTGTTTAAGACTGGCATCTATTATGATGAGTTGCAGCTACCTTGTTCAATATTATTCCTGCAGATGTGGCTCATAACAAAAAAACAGCCTGAGCTGTCACATGTAGTTAACTGTACATTTTGTCTTGTCTGATTAATTGAACACCTTTGTATTTCTCCTATAGACACAGTGTGGATTATTGGTGACTGGTCCGTCGAGGTGCCCAGAGAGCTGCAGAGACAGAGGAAGAAACCTGAGCCTCAACAACATCTGTATTTGTTGGTTCTTCTGGGGTGGACTTCAGTTGCTTCTCTTCAACAGCTCGCTGTGAGGGAGGTCTCCCCGGATGGCCTGAGTGATGTCACCCACAGGCTGAGAGCTGAGGGGGGTTTTAAGCCTTGACAAACCGTTACACCGCGCCCACCTGTCAAGCTGGTCAGCTACACGCTTATTGTGAATAACTCTTATCCTTCATCAAAACATTCACCCCCCCCGTACAGTGTGTGTCCATCGAGACATGAGCTAATCACACCTATTTGTTTGTTTTGTACCAAGCTGTAAACATGTTCATCTCTGCTGTAAAAACAGACTTTTTTTAATGTTGTTTTTCAGATTAAATAAATATTTCTATATAAATGCACTCTTTATGTCTACTTATGAGTATACATTTCAGATTAATGCTCAACTCAATAGCTTAGGGAAGGAAGTCTACTTTTACACAACTTCTTATTCTTTTGATAAATACTAATGTAGTTCATTTCTGAAAGTGGGATGGAACAGAGTCATTGCAAAAATGCCCTTAAACACAGCCCCATTCTTAAATCAAGATACATGGAGAGTAAATAAGATCAATAACTTGTGAATAAAACACAGTTAAAAATGATTTAGAAATGTAGTCTTCCCAGATCAATATCACATAATATCAACTTCTCCCATCTAAACTGGACAAAGGGTTTTAAAATGGGAAGAAAATAGTTTGATTGCAAGTTGTTTGGAGGAGATCTATTTTATTTGAACAGCATGAATACAGTCTTCCAAGGTGCAAACCCTCTCCTCTCTCCTGAAGCCTGTGGAGCTCTTCATGTACTGCTGTCTTATCTGCTGGCCATCTTCTCTCAGCAAACTTTGACTGTTGAAAAGTCATTCAGAAGAAGCTCGAGCATGTGACATGGATCCAGGAGAACATGGACTTTTAGTGAGGGGTCTTCAGGATGACAAAGAAAGAGAGAAAATCAGTTATTCATTAAATCATTTTGTTTGTTCTCATCTATTTTTCTGTATTCATCTGTGTGTAAGAGCACATTTATAAATTCAACAGTGTACTACCCAGACAACAAAGGTACAGTATTCAGGTAATCAACATCTATTCAAAGTTAAGAAGATAAACATTATTGTAATCATGCATCTCTCACTCACACAATGATATTCCACATCAAATTGTCTCAGATTTTGTGAGGAAAAATTAAGCAGTTTATTGTGGATAGTACTTCATCTTAACATGAAACAAATATAACTGAATTATTTAAATCATTAACAGGTCCAACTCTCTGTGCTTTAGTACAGAACATACAGTAACTCATTTATTATTAACATGAGCTCAGTACATGGCTGTATTCTTCAAACTATTTCTTATACTTTATATCTATGTGCTTTATATCTTATTTTCATTCCATGTTATTTATATTTTATATTTCTACTGCTATATTCTGTGTATGAGTTCAGTGAAAATTAATATGGTTATTAATATAGTTCTTAATGGTTACAGATGCTCTTACAAAGTGAAGTTTTTTTTATTTGTTAACAGTTTGCTCAAATCTTAAGACACTACATCAACCATGTAACTTTAATGTCATCCTCTATAACTACACAGCACATTAGGTTCAGTTCAGTTTATGTTACTGACGGATAATTACTACACAAAGTTTGTTTTTTAATGTCCACATTTACGTGGAGTATAACATTCATCATAACAGTCAGATAACCACCGAGTGAACCTTTAGCTTCTAACATCACACAAACTCATATTTTCAACAACAACATCTTAACAACAAACATTTCTAAACCATTGACCGTAAATAATGTAATAATGAGCTACACAGTTAGCCGACTGGTTTACAAGCTAACGCTAAACAAGCTAGGTCGTAAATATAAACACATGAGTAAGCAGTAAATATAACACTACTATATCACTTACCGAGAAAACTGAAGCATCAACTTGTTGGATGGTCTGTTAACCGCACAGCAAGCCATGTATGTTGTCAGATATGTGTTAAAAAACTCTCCAAACGAAGTAAGAAAGAGGAGAAATCAGACGGATCAAGCTGTTAGCCTCCTGACCTGCTGACCTGACAGACAGATGCAGCGCGCAGAGCTGTCAATCAAATCTGACACAACCAAATATGGGCATAGTCGTTTTCCTTAATAGAATAAAATCCGATGAGTTATAAAAAATTCACCCCCCCCACAGTGTGAGGAGAAGGGGCCGTCAACTTCTCAGATATATCTCGTTTTTTGAACCAGGCTGTAAACATGTTGATTCCTGTGGTAAAAACGGGCTTTTTTGGCTGTGGGCTTATGGCACTTCCGGCGCTTCTGCAGCCAGCCTCAAGCGGAACCTCGAGGAACTGCAGTTTTTTGTACTTCCGCATAGGCTTCATTTTTCGAGACGGAGGTT